CAAAAAATGCAAATGTTTAAGTAGACTAGACATATATGCAATATCTTTACGAATTGATTTCCTAACACAATGGCTCTAATACGCATGGAATATTTGCCACTGGACGTTCGGCAGATAAAAATCAAATCAATCCACTTTTTTTTCAGCCATCAGTGCACACGAAAAATTAAGTGCCGCACGAATAAAAGGAGATGTGAAGTATACGTCAGTGAGACAGCAACCCAACTACAGAAATAACCAAAAGACATCTAGAGGGAGACGTGTAATCTTCAACAATAGACAGGTGTCCTAAGACTCCTAACAATATGTCACATAAGTGCTATCAGATTCATATTTTTTTCAGCCAGCAGTATACATTTTTAAATGTAAAATAGAAGGAGAATCATATGTGGGTTATACGTCAATGGAACAGCAGCCCAACGACAGAAAAGACAAAAAAAAAACATATTGATGCAGACATATAGTCTTCGACAAATAGACAGGTGACCACACATTGTCAATATGTCTCGCTCCACGAAAAATATATATCAATTCAACAGAGACATTGAAAGATCTGCTATTAACATTCAATTCTATAAATATAGGGGGGAATTACCATTTCGATATGACATACGACCGTTAACGACAACGTCCCCGACGTGGGACACACGCACACATTTAAGAAAATGTAACGGGGTTAATATACTAACGTTTATCTGATATCTTTGCCATCCCCCTTTTATTTTACAGTAATACTAGGGGAGATATAGGACAAGTATCATCTAATATTTAATCCCGTCGCCTCAACGTACGTACGGGTTGCACTCTGTCCCGTCGAGGGCTGAGTTCCCAACAGATCTAGACTGTAATCACTAGACTGCGGTTAGGTTATAATTCTTGCAATGCAAACTTATATGTAAAAATTGTTTCATGAAAAAGGTATAATAATACGGAAGTATTTCAAAGTTTTGCAAAATTTGTGTTTGTTTACAGGAAAATGCCATGATAAAGACTCATTGTATGATTGAGTCGTTGTTTACAATTTTTTGGGTCTTTTCAATTTTTAATCTGTGCAGATCACAACTTCAAAATAGACGAAAAAGGGCGAAAACCCTGCAAACGTATATAATACGTATATAACACTCCAGATTTTTGCCAATACCTTCTCTGAGGAAATTTTGCAAATTGTGTACTATATAAGGGTTTCAAACCCTTTACATCGTATGCTAACTTCTGAAAGTAGAGGCTTATTTTGTTACGTGTTATGTATGGAAAACGATTTTTTTGTGTTTTTGTTTTATTTTTGCTGTTTGCATTGGTTTGGTATTTTTTTTTTTGTTAAGAAAAGGGGGGTACCGTGAAACAGAGATTTTTAAAGGATAAACACCAGCCATAAAATGCGAAATATTTTAAATGTTTAGTAAATAAGTAACAACTTTTTGACACATAAAACGTAAATATGAATAAAAGGAGATTCAAGGTATACACCAATAAAACAAAAACACAAAACTGAACGGTACGAAATTCGGTGTTTTTACTTTATTGGATTCTCAGTTCAAATATACACCACTTTTCACGTGCAAGGAGTGGAGTTTTTAATTATGACGGCATCACAGTAAAGTATATAAGCAAAAACACTTTGAATTGCAGAGAGAAAGTCAATTTAGCCAATCGTCTAATGAAGAAAAAAAACAAAACAGGGAGAGGATCTGCGAAATCGATCTACACTGCAGTGAAGGATCGAATGTTAACACTGCCGAAGAAGCAGTTAAAGTGATTAAACCCAGACAGAATATTACAGAACAAAGACAATTGCATAGTGAAAACGGCTCTTTTCAAAGTCGCAAAACCAATTAAAAAGAGTCTGACTATTGTTGATATAAAAATATATAATCACGAAAGAAGGAGATTTTTTTTTTTATTTTGGTCATTTTGCTCTTCGTCTAGTTTTTGCTTATTTCTTTTCGTCTCTAGAAAATAAGTAAGACTTACGTAGAGTTGCGCTAATTTCCCCAAATTGTGTCTGTGTTAATGAATTTATTTTTCGCTTGACACACAGAAGATATTTGATTCGGACCCGGTCACAAGGAACATACAAGAAAGTAGTACATATGTTAAACAAAATAATTCCTACGCATGCCTGTAACTTTGTCCAAAAGTAAAAAGAAAATGGAAAATTAATTGGTATCAAATGAAAGGCTCCACGTCTTGAGATCACTGTAGAACACTTGATGAAAGTTTCTCATGAATAATAAAATAAATATATGAAATTATGATAGGGGGCATATTTGCCCTATTGCTCAGATCAGAAGTACCTGTTTTATACTACCCAACTTTCGGGAACCAGTGCGCTCTATTATGCCATTAAAGATATGTTGAGTTTTTCAGCACAGTCAAGTCAGGATAAGGTATAGTTTTGCTATGAAATGATTACCACTTTATTTGAAATTAAGACAAAATAGCTATAAATGCTTAACATTGCATAGTGGTTTATTCCAGAAATCACAGTTGAAGCAAGTGCGTGTCTGCGTTTCTGTAGAATTCTTTCTTTCTCCACTCACAAAAATACCAAAAAATGCAAATGTTTAAGTAGACTAGACAAATATGCAATATCTTTACGAATTGATTTCCTAACACAATGGCTCTAATACGCATGGAATATTTGCCACTGGACGTTCGGCAGATAAAAATCAAATCAATCCACTTTTTTTTCAGCCATCAGTGCACACGAAAAATTAAGTGCCGCATGAATAAAAGGAGATGTGAAGTATACGTCAGTGAGACAGCAACCCAACTACAGAAATAACCAAAAGACATCTAGAGGGAGACGTGTAATCTTCAACAATAGACAGGTGTCCTAAGACTCCTAACAATATGTCACATAAGTGCTATCAGATTCATATTTTTTTCAGCCAGCAGTATACATTTTTAAATGTAAAATAGAAGGAGAATCATATGTGGGTTATACGTCAATGGAACAGCAGCCCAACGACAGAAAAAAAAAAAAAAAAAAACATATTGATGCAGACATATAGTCTTCGACAAATAGACAGGTGACCACACATTGTCAATATGTCTCGCTCCACGAAAAATATATATCAATTCAACAGAGACATTGAAAGATCTGCTATTAACATTCAATTCTATAAATATAGGGGGGAATTACCATTTCGATATGACATACGACCGTTAACGACAACGTCCCCGACGTGGGACACACGCACACATTTAAGAAAATGTAACGGGGTTAATATACTAACGTTTATCTGATATCTTTGCCATCCCCCTTTTATCTTACAGTAATACTAGGGGAGATATAGGACAAGTATCATCTAATATTTAATCCCGTCGCCTCAACGTACGTACGGGTTGCACTCTGTCCCGTCGAGGGCTGAGTTCCCAACAGATCTAGACTGTAATCACTAGACTGCGGTTAGGTTATAATTCTTGCAATGCAAACTTATATGTAAAAATTGTTTCATGAAAAAGGTATAATAATACGGAAGTATTTCAAAGTTTTGCAAAATTTGTGTTTGTTTACAGGAAAATGCCATGATAAAGACTCATTGTATGATTGAGTCGTTGTTTACAATTTTTTGGGTCTTTTCAATCTTTAATCTGTGCAGATCACAACTTCAAAATAGACGAAAAAGGGCGAAAACCCTGCAAACGTATATAATACGTATATAACACTCCAGATTTTTGCCAATACCTTCTCTGAGGAAATTTTGCAAATTGTGTACTATATAAGGGTTTCAAACCCTTTACATCGTATGCTAACTTCTGAAAGTAGAGGCTTATTTTGTTACGTGTTATGTATGGAAAACGATTTTTTTGTGTTTTTGTTTTATTTTTGCTGTTTGCATTGGTTTGGTATTTTTTTTTTTGTTAAGAAAAGGGGGGTGCCGTGAAACAGAGATTTTTAAAGGATAAACACCAGCCATAAAATGCGAAATATTTTAAATGTTTAGTAAATAAGTAACAACTTTTTGACACATAAAACGTAAATATGAATAAAAGGAGATTCAAGGTATACACCAATAAAACAAAAACACAAAACTGAACGGTACGAAATTCGGTGTTTTTACTTTATTGGATTCTCAGTTCAAATATACACCACTTTTCACGTGCAAGGAGTGGAGTTTTTAATTATGACGGCATCACAGTAAAGTATATAAGCAAAAACACTTTGAATTGCAGAGAGAAAGTCAATTTAGCCAATCGTCTAATGAAGAAAAAAAACAAAACAGGGAGAGGATCTGCGAAATCGATCTACACTGCAGTGACGGATCGAATGTTAACACTGCCGAAGAAGCAGTTAAAGTGATTAAACCCAGACAGAATATTACAGAACAAAGACAATTGCATAGTGAAAACGGCTCTTTTCAAAGTCGCAAAACCAATTAAAAAGAGTCTGACTATTGTTGATATAAAAATATATAATCACGAAAGAAGGAGATTTTTTTTTTTTATTTTGGTCATTTTGCTCTTCGTCTAGTTTTTAAAGGCAGTGCTTTAATGCCTTTCTAGTTGCCGTGTTAATATTTCTTTCCGCGATATCCAACTTATCTACGTGGGGGGTCATTTAGCTCCAAGTAGATCCGGAAAATGTTGATTCTCTCCTCTTCTTATTGTGGTATAAAATGTTTTTTGTCTCATTTCATTTACATTGGGAAATAGAGAAACGATCATTGTGTTTTGTTAGTTTTAAAAACTTTTGATATATTTGTATTTTACATTATAAGCAGTCAACCGATTGACAAACTAGAATTATTTGAATTCCGTGTGGAAAGAGGTCGGGTTAATTTCGAGTGTTATCTGCAATCTAGATGTTTATAAATCATTTCAGTCGTTGATATAATAATTAAAGGTCGACTGAACATGAATTATATTATACAATTTAAAGCGCATTTCTGTTTATGCACGCGAACCCGTCTAACGTTATTGTTATTTCGCAGTTGTATAAAGTAGCAAATTATCGTTCCTGAATAGGTGGCGCCGTGGTAGCCGATCCTGTACATCAACTTCCGGTTTCTGCACTGTGCAACTATTACAGTTGCATTTTTAATTAACGATGCCAAGTACTTGTTGTTGTGAACCTGGATGTCATTTAAGAGGAGGACATGCATTTCCAAATGACTTAAAAAGAAGGAAAAGTTGGATCAACGCCATGGCCCATACGCAGATTGGACGAGAACACGATGAAATCGTGGAGTCCATCTCAATCAGCTGTTGTTTGCAAGGCACATTTTACTGAAAAAGACTACGTGAAGGAAACTATTCATGGTAAAACTCTATTTTCTTTTTAAAATATATAGTTATATATGTAATCGCCATGCGAATAAACCAAAGTCAGTTTACAACCGCAATTATCGTTTTAGAATAAAAGGGGGTGGTTAATTCAAGACGTCATAATTTTTTGGATTACGATTCAATGTGATCTGTTTGAGATTTTTTGGTGCTTGCTACAATTATAATGATTTCTTACAAGAGGTATATCATACTGAGAATTATTTTAGCAGTAATTATGCTTATGTAGTAATGACAGGAATGCATAAGCTATGCCTCATAGACTTTCTTGAAAAATATCAATGACAATGTTAACAGGAACAAAACAATGACATGCTCTCATCTATATTATAGTTATTTAGGTACAAACAATGTATGTTTGTTGCATACGTCTCTCATTGTTTGTCCTTTGGATTTACATAACATACATTTTGATGTACATTGAATCAGGCTAACATAGTTTTATCCAGATTGTAATGAATAAATCTAGTTAATATTTTGCCAGGTTACGAGTACAAAGGAATTATAGTTATCTTGTACCATTGTAACTCGTACCAATGTCAACTCGTACCAATGTCAACTCGTACCACTAAACAAAAACTCGTTCCAATGCAAACTCGTACAATTGTACCACTGCTAACTCGTACCACGGTAAATTCATACCATTGTAAACTCGTACCAACTTATTTAAATGCATTCAAATGGTGTTTAATGATGAATATATATTTTAATTTCACTCAATACCTCTTAAGTCTGTAAAATGTATATAATTTGAAATTACAATAACCAATTTGTAGCTAATTTTCCTTGTCTAATTGGATAGAGAAAACCGTGGCAGATTGGCTTTGTTGTCTCCCTTGAATAGACTCTTTTTTAAACTTTTACTGACAACTATTTGATTTAATTTTTAATCATTCCAAATCAGTAACATTGAATAGATTTGGGTATTTTTCTATTGTTTCTAAAAGGAATTTTATTTAATGAAAGAATTTATTGATTGTGTTTTAAAGGTTTAAAATTGTTTATTGCTTATATGATTATACAAGTTGATTAGTTAAAGATAAAAAAAAACAAGTTGATTACAATGTAGTTAATAATCAACCAATAATCACACAATCAAAGGAATTTAATATATTTATTAGCATGGTAATTAAGAAATTACATTTGTATTTTTGTCTAAGTTTTCATTAAAATCTGGTATAAATTTCAAAGATATTTTATTTTTTTGTATAAAGCTTAAAAAAAAATAATCATAAAACATTTGTATTTTTGTCTTAGTTTTCATTAAAATCTAGTATAAAATTCAAGTAATTCAACTTTTTTTATTTTTAGTTTACCAAAAAAAAAATCATAAAACTTTCGTATTTTTGAATATATTTTTAATGGTACGAGTTTGCAGTGGTACGAGTTCTGATTGGTACGACTTCCCAGTGGTACGAGTTTACGTTGGTACGAGTTTACGTGGTACAAGTTTACAATGGTACGAGTTAACTTGCTTCTGTACAAAGTATGCATTGCTAATGGAAGTTCATTTGATTATAAAAAAACTAATGTTTTATAACCTTTTTCAGGGCACAAACCCACCATACAGAGACTTAAGTCTACTGCCAATCCCAGCCTATTTTCCTGGACCAAGCAAGAGACTGAATCGTCCGCAAAAAGAAAAATCAGGGCAGTTTCCTGTGAAAACAAAAGAACTAAACTTGATGAAAATTGTAGTAGAAATCTAGAGGAAAGTTTTGATTGTAAAGTTGGTTTTCCTGAAGAAGTAATTCATACTGCAGACAGGATTTATGACTGTCCACCACCAACTGCCGAGCTAATGTTGAGCTTCACAGATGGAATTACGCAAACACCATCAATGCCTATATTTTCAGCAGAGAATTTTGAAATGAAGACACGTGACACAGCCATGCATTTTTATACCGGTTTAGAGTTGTATACTAAATTTTTATTTGTTTTGACCACACTTGGTCCAACAGCACATTGTTTGAGATACATATATTTTCAAATTGATAGGGTGTCATTTGAAAATCAGTTTTTTTATGACTTTGATGAAATTGATGCATTATACAACCAACTTTGAACTGTCTAGATTCTAGACTGAAACTAGTGTTAAGAATATTGTGTAAACATGGATTGTTTTTATGTCTAAACAGTGGCGTGAGGCTAACACTTGGCCATTTAGTGGTTTAGTCTGGTATTTTTCGCCATCCAACTTAGAATTAAAGTTTCCTACAACTTGGATTATTATTGACAGCACAGAATATCCCGTGATAAAACCTAAAGCTCCTAGAGCTCAGACAACCTTTTCATCATATAAAAACAGAAACACTGAAAATACTTGTATGTTTTCGACACCTGGTGGTTTAGTCAACTATGTCTCTAATGCATATGTTGGTTGTACCAGTGGCTGTGAAATAGTTGAAAGATGTAGAATAGTTCAATTATGTGATCCAGGTGACAGTGTGATGGCAGACAAAGGTTTAAATGTGCAAGATTTGTTTGCTCACTTTTTTCAAAAAAAGAAACAGAATTAGTTCCAAAACTCTTATACAGGATAGAAAATTAAAGTCTCCAATTAACACGTGCACATAGAGCTAATTATTGGACTTGGCAAAACATACAAAATTCTAATAAATCCTATGAATGGAACTGAAACAAAACTTTCATCTGAAATAACATTTAGTTGTTTTATGTTGTGTAATTTAACTAATTTTAGAACTTGTATTGTGCCAAAGGATGCATAAATAAAAGTGACGCAATGAAGTTTGTTCTGATATATATATATATAAATATTATTTACAATTACATGCACATGTAAATTGTAATGCATATAAAAATAAGGAGATGTGGTATGATATTCAGTGAGTTTATCGAACCAAAGTGCATAAGAAATGGGTTAAGCGGTTACAGGTGTTACTGTCACCATACAATCTCCAACAATTAGAAAAACTTGTACCGTGTAAAAAATTTCAGAGATCTACAACTAAGTTTTGTTGTCTCACCTTGACTTTGGTGAATTGTTTATATCTGTTGATGTAAATATAAAAAAGAAGATGTGGTATGATTGCCAATGAGACAACTCTCATCAAGAGACCAAATGACACAGAAATTAACAGCTATAGGTCACAGTAGGGCCTTCAACAATGAGCAAAGCACATACCGCACAGTGAGCTATAAAAGGCCCCGAAATGACAATGTAAAACAATTCAAACAAGAAAACTAACGGCCTAATTTATGTACAAAAAATGAACAAATAACAAATATGCAACACATAAACAAACGACAACCACTGAATTACAGGCTCCTGACTTGGGACAGGCACATACATGTACATACAGAATGTGGCGGGGTTAAACATGTTCGCGGGATCCCAACCCACCCCCTAACCTGGGACAGTGGTGTAACAGTACAATATAAGAGCGAACTATAAAAATCAGTTGAAAGAGGCTTAACTCATCAGATGGATAAATACAAATACAAGTGGACGTGGCTGGGTAGTTGTACATCCAAACAACAAAAAGACACTAAGTACAGATCTGAGAGTACTCGCATTTACTGACAGCTAGTTCAAAGCCACAAACAACTGATAAAAAAATCTTGCATCTAAGACTAAATTATCAATCCGTAAGCTCCCTTTAGAATTTTATAAATTTTAGATTTTACATTTCTGAGTTATGGGGTTTTATTCATTAAAAAGGGGGGGATTTTCCAGTTTTTGGACAACAACTCAAAAATGCTTTAAGCAGTTCGCATGAAACTTTGGTGAATTATTTATAGCTATTGATGTAATCTCCCTATTGATTTTCATAAATTTCAAATATGACATTGAGAAGAAATTGAACTTTATTTGTTTATAGTCTGGCAACAGATTTATTAAGTATTGCACAACAGCACAGTGTATTGCACAACAGCAAGAAATCTTTAATTGAATATAAATTCAATTCATATAACCGATTTCAAGTTCTTTGACTACATTTATTCAGAAACTATAATATGTCAAATATTTAATTACAATCCAAATTCAGACCTGTATCAAGCTTGAATATTGTGTCCATTTTTGCCCCAACTGTTCAGGGTTGGACCTCTGTGGGTGTATCCAGCTGCGCTCAGCGAATCAGTTTATTACTTAATTAATTAAGAACTCCTTTTTGTCGAGCCTGCGACTTTTGTTGCGGAAAGCTCAACATAGGGATAGTGATCCGGCGGCGGCGTTAGCTAACTTCTTAAAAGCTTTATATTTTAGAAGGTGGAAGGTCTGGATGCTTCATACTTTGTATATGGATGCCTCATGTTACGAAGTTTCCGTCAGTCACATGTCCAATGTCCTTGACCTCATTTTCATGGTTCAGTGACTACTTGAAAAAAAAGTTAAGATTTTTTGTAATGTTGAATTCTCTCTTATTATAAGTAATAGGATAACTATATTTGGTATGTGCATACCTTGCAAGGTCCTCATGCCCGTCAGACAGTTTTCACTTGACCTCGACCTCATTTCATGGATCAGTGAACAAGGTTAAGTTTTGGTGGTCAAGTCCATATCTCAGATACTATAAGCAATAGGTCTAGTATATTCGGTGTATGGAAGGACTGTAAGGTGTACATGTCCAACTGGCAGGTGTCATCTTATCTTGACCTCATTTTCATGGTTCAGTGGTTATAGTTAAGTTTTTGTGTTTTGGTCTGTTTTTCTTATACTGTATGCAATAGGTCTACTATATTTGGTGTATGGAATGATTGTAAGGTGTACATGTCTAGCTGGCAGGTGTCATCTGACCTTGACCTCATTTTCACGGTTCAGTGGTCAAAGTTAAGTTTTTGAGTTTTGTCTTTTTTTCTTATACTATATGCAATAGTTCAACTATATTTGGTGTATGGAACTATTTTATGATCTATATGTCAGTCACGCAGGTTTTTTTTTTACCTTGACCTCATTTTCAAGGTTCATTGCTCAGTTTTAAGTTTTTGTGTTTTGGTCTGTTTTTCTTAAACTATAAGCAATAGGTCAACTATATTTGTTGTATGGAAGAATTGTTAGCTGTACATGCCTGCTTAGCATGGTTCATCTGACCTTGACCTCATTTTCTTGGTTCATTGGTCAATGTTTAGTTTACTTGGTTAATGTTAAGTTTATGTGACAGTTGTAATAAAGCTTTATATTTAGGACTATCAACATAATATCAATGATTAGTAAAGAAGGCAAGACATTTCAGCGTGTGCACTCTTGTTTCATTCATAAATTACTTTATACTTGGAAATATAATTTTGCTTGGAGTTATAGTTTCTAAAAAAAGTATTGTCATTGAAAGAGTTGACATGTTGCAATGTACATTTATTCTACATAGTTCTATGGTACCAAATCAAAAGTTTATATTAAAGAAAGAAGTCAAAGGTTTCCCATCATAGTTTAGTTACATACATTTTTTTTGTACCTGAGGTCGTTGAATATAGATCATTATATAAATAAGGAGATGTGTTATGATTGCCAATGAAACAACTATCATCCATACATTGTACTTACCAGTAACAAACCATATTTGCAAAGTTGAATAAAATACAGTTGATAACATTTACTTATTACTTAAAAGAAAATGCCAAACTATTTTAAACAGTATTTGACTATAAACATAGATAAAAAAGGTACAAACTGGACATAATGCACAAGTTCATAAACAAGTGAGAACAATCGCCTTCATATAGTGCTCAGAATATGACATTCATAAAACTTGTTCAATATCATTAGAGAACTCTAAATCTTAAATACTGAAAGCCACCTCTGATAAGTACAATGTACTATGCAAGATAATGATATAACTGGACTAAAAATACACACAACCTGTAATTAACTGCCTTTACAGCGCTTTCGCGCTTTGATTGCTTATTTCTTTTCGTCTCTAGAAAATAAGTAAGACTTACGTAGAGTTGCGCTAATTTCCCCAAATTGTGTCTGTGTTAATGAATTTATTTTTCGCTTGACACACAGAAGATATTTGATTCGGACCCGGTCACAAGGAACATACAAGAAAGTAGTACATATGTTAAACAAAATAATTCCTACGCATGCCTGTAACTTTGTCCAAAAGTAAAAAGAAAATGGAAAATTAATTGGTATCAAATGAAAGGCTCCACGTCTTGAGATCACTGTAGAACACTTGATGAAAGTTTCTCATGAATAATAAAATAAATATATGAAATTATGATAGGGGGCATATTTGCCCTATTGCTCAGATCAGAAGTACCTGTTTTATACTACCCAACTTTCGGGAACCAGTGCGCTCTATTATGCCATTAAAGATATGTTGAGTTTTTCAGCACAGTCAAGTCAGGATAAGGTATAGTTTTGCTATGAAATGATTACCACTTTATTTGAAATTAAGACAAAATAGCTATAAATGCTTAACATTGCATAGTGGTTTATTCCAGAAATCACAGTTGAAGCAAGTGCGTGTCTGCGTTTCTGTAGAATTCTTTCTTTCTCCACTCACAAAAATACCAAAAAATGCAAATGTTTAAGTAGACTAGACAAATATGCAATATCTTTACGAATTGATTTCCTAACACAATGGCTCTAATACGCATGGAATATTTGCCACTGGACGTTCGGCAGATAAAAATCAAATCAATCCACTTTTTTTTCAGCCATCAGTGCACACGAAAAATTAAGTGCCGCATGAATAAAAGGAGATGTGAAGTATACGTCAGTGAGACAGCAACCCAACTACAGAAATAACCAAAAGACATCTAGAGGGAGACGTGTAATCTTCAACAATAGACAGGTGTCCTAAGACTCCTAACAATATGTCACATAAGTGCTATCAGATTCATATTTTTTTCAGCCAGCAGTATACATTTTTAAATGTAAAATAGAAGGAGAATCATATGTGGGTTATACGTCAATGGAACAGCAGCCCAACGACAGAAAAAAAAAAAAAAAAAACATATTGATGCAGACATATAGTCTTCGACAAATAGACAGGTGACCACACATTGTCAATATGTCTCGCTCCACGAAAAATATATATCAATTCAACAGAGACATTGAAAGATCTGCTATTAACATTCAATTCTATAAATATAGGGGGGAATTACCATTTCGATATGACATACGACCGTTAACGACAACGTCCCCGACGTGGGACACACGCACACATTTAAGAAAATGTAACGGGGTTAATATACTAACGTTTATCTGATATCTTTGCCATCCCCCTTTTATCTTACAGTAATACTAGGGGAGATATAGGACAAGTATCATCTAAGATTTAATCCCGTCGCCTCAACGTACGTACGGGTTGCACTCTGTCCCGTCGAGGGCTGAGTTCCCAACAGATCTAGACTGTAATCACTAGACTGCGGTTAGGTAATAATTCTTGCAATGCAAACTTATATGTAAAAATTGTTTCATGAAAAAGGTATAATAATACGGAAGTATTTCAAAGTTTTGCAAAATTTGTGTTTGTTTACAGGAAAATGCCATGATAAAGACTCATTGTATGATTGAGTCGTTGTTTACAATTTTTTGGGTCTTTTCAATTTTTAATCTGTGCAGATCACAACTTCAAAATAGACGAAAAAGGGCGAAAACCCTGCAAACGTATATAATACGTATATAACACTCCAGATTTTTGCCAATACCTTCTCTGAGGAAATTTTGCAAATTGTGTACTATATAAGGGTTTCAAACCCTTTACATCGTATGCTAACTTCTGAAAGTAGAGGCTTATTTTGTTACGTGTTATGTATGGAAAACGATTTTTTTGTGTTTT